ATTGCACTTTGCAACTGGGTACAGTAGCAGTACTATTTATGCTCTCTCACGCTGGGCTGACCGTCACTGTGTCACGCACGCAACGTACAATACTTTTCGTCACGTACGGTACGGTCAAAGCGTATACAGGCTACAACCGTCCATCCATAACATGTATAGATTGCGCCGACGTTTTGGACATCAAGACGGACTCCCATACACAAGTTTCGCATCATATGGCGCTTGAGATTGGTTTGCATCATATCCACCGCGCCATACCTAGCGGCGTACTAGGCCACCCAAAGGCGGCGTGAACCAGCTCACCCGGAGCCTCGTCGCTGGGAGGCATGGCATCTGCAATACTAGCTGTGTGATGCTGGACGAGGAGATGATGTGTAGGCTGACGGCATAGACCATTTGGACATATTAAATCTTTTATGTATATATTGTCTAATTTAAGATTTTGAGGTTTAGCTAAATGTATTTTAGTCAATCATATATTCGAGAACGGAGGTAGTAGTAAGAGCTGAGAGTTAAAAGAGGCTAAAATAAGAGTAAATTGCATCCACGGTGCATCAACTTGGCAGGTGGGTGTAATTTGGTGCAATAACTTGAGAAATGAATGTTTTAGTGCAACAACTTGGTAGGAAGGTGCAATTTAGTATAAGAATTTTATAAGTGATGGTATAAATGTAACAATTTGCAAGGTAGGTACGATTTTGATACAATAAATTAAAATGATATGCGACAACTTAATTCTTTGGAGTATTTTTTTATATAAATTCAATTTTAAGTACTTATTTTAACAATATACTAACCCGGATTTGTATAAGTATATTTATATTTTTGTCCTAATAACTAATAACTGAAAGTCAATTAAAATGGATGTAGAAATTATTATATTTCGGTTGATATTTGAGAAGGCGAAGAAAAATTTCTTAAAGCTAATTGGATGTAAATTGTACTACTATGTGCAGTATAATTCTTAGATTAAATTTAATATTATAAGGTAATATCTGTATGATTATTATGTAATGGCATATTGACATCGTGATAAAAACTCACCTAGCGTATGCTCAGCCAAGTTGATGCACCAAAATACTAAATTGTTAAGTTCTTGTACTAGAACGCACCCATTTGCCAAGTTGTTATACCGTGGGTGCAATTTACTCCTAAAATAAATAGTATTTCTGTTGTAAAAAGGATGGCATCCTAAAATAGGTGCAATTAAACGTCAATATCTTAATTCAATAATTGATGGAAAATATTAAAATGTAAAAAACATATCAATAGATTTTTCATAAAAATATCTTTCATATAGTTATATTTTTAATACTTTCTATAAATGTATTGTTTGATGAAAAAAAAATGAAAAAAACATGTGCACTGAAAATTGTACCGATGTCCAAAACGAAATCCTTTTGAGAATAATGGAGTTAGTAGCACATCCAGAGTGATCAGATAATTGAAGCGTACCGTCCAGTATTGGATAAGAATATTTATGGTGAAAACAACTAATGGTGTACTATAGCTATGGCTATGCAACCCCTGTGTGATTCAGTCAAATGCTGGTCCTTCATTTACTACCCATTCCAAATCTCCAAATTTCACTCTCTGTAGCCTGTATCCACATACACACAGGGAGATCGATTGAGATAGAGGTACAGGTCATACGGTGGTGAATGAGGCACAGTGAACGGTGGTCCAACTGTGGTCTGTAGACCGATGGCAACTCTACCCAACCCAACCCTCCCTCCCATCTGCACGGGGCTAAAAGGCCCCATGCAAAATAAATTGCACTATTTTCCTTTCATCCCATCTCTCTCTCCTCCTCGCCACCGTACAACAGCAACGATAACGTCAAACATATTACTCGTTTGCTCTAGAGCTGATAAGACAAAGTAAAACGAACAAAGTAACCAAATATTTGTGTTCTTAACGATTTATTAAAAGTTAATAAGGGAAAACAAACTATGATAAGAAAAAACTCAAAATTAACTCTGAATTTAAGTTAAAAAATTTTAATAAATTTTGGCATTGGCTAATAAACCAACATAGGCCGTGTTTAGTTTCACAACCAATTTTTTTTTGAAGTATACGGATACACATTTGAAGTATTAAAATGTAGATTAATAATAAAACAAATTACAGATTCCGCTTATAAACTGCGAGACGAATTTATTAAGCCTAATTAATCTGTCATTAGCAAATATTTACTGTAGCATCATATTGTCAAATCATGACGTAATTAGGCTCAAAAGATTCGTCTCGCAATTTACATACAAACTGTGCAATTGGTTTTTTTCGTCCACATTTAATGCTCCATACATGTGTCCATGCATTTGATGTGATGGGATTTTTGGAAGTTTAAAGGGAACTAAACACAGCCATAGATACAATGAGAGTGAAAGCCAATGTCAAGGGCTCAAGGTGGCCACATCCCCCTCCAGGCCCCCACACACTGCATGAAGCAGGTATTAGAGAGAGAAAGTGACCAGTAGCAGTAGTACCACTCTCCATTGCTACTCCACTGCTGCTCTATAGAGAGAGAAACCTTGCACTGTTCTTTTGAGTACTCTACTGGTTTGAGAGAGAGAAGAGAGGGAGGAGGAAGAAGGACAGGGCATTAAAATGGGCACAGGTGTTGCACAATGCACAGGCCCTCACTTTACTTTTCCTTTGTGCTGCAGCTAGCTTGCTTGCTTGCTTCCTTTTATTTATTATTATTATTATTCCTGCCTCTTTTCAATTTCACCCCTTCATTCATTCACTCATCCATTCATTTATCACTCTCTCTCTCTCTTTTGTCAGAGACTGGGCAAAAGGGCCGACAAAGGTAGAGGGAACAATAGAATGACTTCAATGAGGGGACACACAAACATGGGGGGACTGGAAAAAATGATTTTGCAATCCATTGCTTTATGATTGCATTGCATTGCAATGCCCTGTTTCTTCTCTTCTTTTTTTTTTCTTTCCATCTCTCTTTCTTTCTCTGTTCTTGGTTGCAATTGGGGCCTGCCTTTTTTGAGCTTTCAATTGGCCTGGAAAGAATTGCTTTCTTTCTTTCTTGCATTGCAGTTCTGTGTGGGTGAAGACTCTCTCAAGGTTTATTGCTTTTGCAATGGCTTCAGGTTTACTACTTCTGCAAGAGCAGCACAGTGATTGTTCGGCTGTTTGGGCCTCCTCTCTCCTATATATGCTAATGTGTTTTGCCAAATCACAACTTAATCACAGAAACCATAGAGATTCTAATGTAATCATACCGTGTAATATACCCCCACCCTATTGGCCACGTATGCATTAGTTGAATAAGAATAGCTAGCAAGATCAATCATTGATATTCCTTTTAATGGCATTTTTGTTAGACATCCATCTAACCATAAATATTCAGTGTATATATCCCTATCATCAAAAGCATATATCAGAGTTGGCACCAAACGTGTGTATCTTGCTGTGTCCCATCCTAGTTTTTTTTTTCTCGAACACGCAAGAGAGTTACATGTACATATAAAGCCCACACGCAAGAAAGTAGAAAAGGGGTAGAAACCCGAGTACATTTACATACAAAGCCCACACCCTTAGTTATTGGCCAGTTGTTAGCTACTCCTTCTGTCTAATTTTAAGTGTAGTTGTAGATTTCTGTATCCAACGTTTGACTGTCCGTCTTATTTGATTTTTTTTAATGATTAGTATTTTTATTATATTAGAAAAATGTCTGTGCGTTACAACGGGTAAATACTATTTTAATTTTATTATTGCTATACGGTTTAGCTAGGGTAAAATTTACTATGGGAATTCGCATGAATATTTTTTTAAAAAAAATCATGGGCTGCATTTAGGAGTTCGTATTTCATCTCAAGTTACCATGCGAGTTTTTCTTAAAGAGATTTCTTATACGACTCCTTTTGTATTTTCAAAAGCAAACAAGCTTAAAATCCAACTCACATGGATATGTATTTCCAAAAGCGGACAAACTTAAAAAAACGACTCAAACACGGATGACGTACCAAAATACCAGCAAAAACATCTCTAATTTTTATAATAGTAGAGATTAGATGAGAAAACATGAATAGTACTTTATGCGTGACTTATTTTTTTAATTTTTTCATAAAATTTTTAAATAAAACAGACGGTCAAACGTTGGACACGAAAATCCGCAACTACACTTAAAAGCTGGATGGAGGGACAGTTTCAAATACCGGTTTAACTGGAATTACTAAATCATTGAATTTTACTAGGAAAAAATTATCTAAAATGATTTTTTTTCATTTTTTTGCCATCACACAAACAAATTCTACATCTAATTTTAAAATTATTTAAATTCATACATTTCGGGCTGATAATTGCTCCAAATTGGTATCCGGCTTCGGATTAGTTGCCATGCGGTTACCTACCTGTTTTCGGAACCCTAATTGCTATCAATCATCACATCGATCCGCGACCAAATGCTCATCAACCGATTATGAATGCTGATGGTTTTGCTTCTGTTAATGGCGTACATGTACTTGGGATCTTTCAGTGCCCTTTTGTTCTTGGACCACTCTAGCTAGCTGCACGCCATGGAATTATTTGGTTACATCGTTGGGCGAGGAATGAGTGAATGAATGAATGATCAATGAGAAGGTACCTGCTGGACCGGATCAAAGGCGCACTCGTGACCGATTAATTGCAGGATTGATTTCACAGATCGATCGTCGATAAGTGAGTCGAATTCAGACATAATTCGGTACATGATTGGATTGATATCAGTTGGTTCATATGTTGTTTGTGCAATTTTTGCCTAGCTAGGCTGTTCATGTCATGTAAAGCTTGGACCTTTATCTTGTATCAGATATCTGCTAGTTTCTGGTCAAGAGAGGCCGGTTCACACCGGCCATGGTTGCTGGAAAAGAACAGGTAGGCAGTATCTGACATGATCAATGAGGCTAAAGGAAGTGCAAGAACCTGCAGGGATTAAAGAAAGAAGCATATGCGGCATGCATGCACACAAAAAAGGGCCATGGAAATCTGAGATCATCATCTGAGCAACTGAGCTAAGTAGATGGATAGATAGGTAGCTAGATAGATTGGCAGATTGCTTCACCTGAACTCAATTCCCTTTTCTTTCTTCCTTTCTCTCCTTTCCAACTTTCCATGTGCTAATGGCACACACACTTTCACACACACTGACAAACACACAACCAACTCATCACCAAACTCACACTCTCGATCTCCAGCTGCCTAGCTGACACTCACTCACTCACTCTCTAGCTAGCTAGCTCACCACTGAACTACACTGTAAATCGATCCCGGCACGGCGAACAAAACTAAATAAATATGGAGATCAGACAAGGAAACTCTAGCTGCATCCATGATATTAATTGCAAAAAGAAGAAGAAGAAGGAATCAAGAAAACCCAAATTGTGATGATGAGATCGAGACGCGAAATATATATCTCTTCTCCGATCGATTGCGACGACGATGACGACGACGCAGTGGATATGATGTGCGTTTCAAGCCATTGCTGCTGATCATTCTTCGCCATGACAAGCTTCAGACGAACTGGCTCTGGCTAAGCTGGGGTTGGCGAAAGATGATCAGCACCAGGTTGGTGTATATCACATATATATTTCACATCTCAGGAGAAATTTTTTTTTGATCATTAGCCTCTGTGATTGCCATCTAATCATGATCTGCACCGTGCCAGTCAGGCCTCCCTAGAGTGAACTCGAGACTAGGGCTACTCAGCTCATGGTTGGACACCTGCGAGCTGCTCGATCTGCACGGTTCCAAGTTCTGAAACACGCACAAACGAAAAAAAATTCAGAGTTTCAGACATCATGTTCAGAATGAATGCGAGCTAATGAATTTCTGCATGGATATGCAGTTAGCTAGGAATCGAAAGAAGCTTTGAACAATGTAAGGATATATACCTCAATAGGAGAAGACAATCCTACGGAGCGATGGGCGTCCATGTTGCAAGAATTGGACGACAGCCATGGGTCCCTGAAAAGAGGAAGAACACACATTACACATCTCACATTTAGCAAAGTTGTTACAACCTTTTCTCCAAGCTGGTATGTTTGTGTATATGTATATGTAAATGTATATGTGTGCAGTTGGATCAATTGGGGACTAACTGAATTCTGAAGTAGGCCTTGCAACAATGCTACAATTGGGTAGATGTGCATTGTATGTATGTGCATGGTAAACTGTAGTTACACAGTTTGGGGGGCAAAGGACACAGGGGTAGATGGAAGGATGCATATGCATTGCATAATGCACACAGTTTTGCTTTAGCTAAAGTGAGCAGCAAACAGTGTGCTCTTCCTGAACAGTTGGTTACATGGATCATTTCCAGGCAACAAGCTCTTAAAAGATGTCCCTGTTTGGTGCAGCTCAGCAGTGCAATGGCACAGGAGCTCATCAGCAAGCCGCTGTTGGCAAAGATCGAATTCAATGTAGAGAAAGGCACAAGAAAGGAATCAAATGCTACTACAATGGGTCACACAAATACACAAGGATCGTTGTGCATATATAATTGTAATTACATGTCATTTCCTGCACTAATTAATTGTGAATACCTAATTGAATTAGTATGTCCTTGCGTGATCCACACATGCATGCACATGTGTCTGCATGTATTATTGTTAAATGTTTTTGCTTTTTATGTGTGATGACTTCAATGTTGGTTGGAGGGGGGAGAACATTTTTGTTCATACCCCACATGTTGATCATGAAAATGACACTTCTTTTTTATGTGTGATTTTGGTATATCAAGAAAAAGTGTCCTTCCTTTACTACCACTCTATCTAAATAGACACGCACATAACACCAACTTACTACCAAACTGTTGTAAAGTGCTTTTGTCTTGATAGGAACAAATGTATGCTGTTAACAAATGAGGGACCAGTAGACTTTGTATGTCCAAAATACCACCCAATCATAGATACACCACTTTATGTGATCTGCCAATATATGTCTGTATCTTTTCTGATTATGCATTGTATAATGAAGTTTGTTCAAGACTGGACATATACAATCTGTTTCAGTTCACCAATATATGGATGCCATTAATCTAAGCTAGACTAAAATGAGACGAGAACACCAAAATTTGTCATGAGAATGTATATTAAAAAATGCATGTGTTTCCCTCTCTAAATATGCATACATCTCCACTTGTTCATCAGAAATGTTTTTGCACAACTCGAGCAACGACAACATTGCTGAAATATAATTGATAAGATATTTTAAGTACTTGAGAGGTACCAAATTTTTTTTGTGCAAATTTCTGTACCTCATAGTATCAAAGTTACTGAATTTTAAAATAGAAAATGTATCATTGTACCTCCTCAAGAACTGTAAAATCACTCATAATTGATAGTCGTATTTTTTTTGGGAGGGTTTCCTCTTAAATTTCTATTTTGTTTTGTTTATATGTGCACAACGATCCTACTACCTAGAAGAAAAAGAAGAAGATAAAAAAAGATAGCCTAATTCCTCCTGGACATTTGACCTGACCAAATTCCTGGAATCCTCATGGATTCAAGGAAGTAATAAGTAGGAGTACTATAAAGCATATGCAAGCAAGGTAGTTGTGCCCAATTATTTTGGGGAAGAAGGTTGCAATTTAATGCCATTTAGTTATATTTTTTTGTCACTAGTATTTAATACTACAATGGATTCATCTAAAAAATATGACGTGGTATGTATGCACTTGACCAGCTGACTTTAATTTGTCCCCAAAGTTTGACTGAAACGGCTAAAGTGAAGGAAAATCAAGAGCATAAGGAGGATACTGCTCAAAGACTAGACCAGGCATTGCCATTACTTCCATGAACAACTGAACTCTCAACTGCATAAGAGTTCTGAACAAGAACAGGTCTTGAAAGAAAGAGAACTAGTCAGAGAATTATTAGATAGATAAAACCTGAAGCTAATTTGAATTTCAAAACTTGATTGCTGAGAATGATTTTTTACTTAGCCAATAAGGAACAGAAGAAAGATGGAGAAATTAAAGCGGCGAAGAAACCAGCAATGCAACTGATCAAACACGACCGAAAGGGAGGTGTTGGGGATGGCAAGAAAGTTGCAGTGAGTCCTGAGAAAGAAAAAGCAGCGAATGCAGCCAAGGACAGGTTGAACTGTACTTGCTTCCAAGCTGCCCAAAGATCAAAGTTTTCACGCCAATGGCTGGAGTAAAATCTGCCCAAGCACACTCACTAATTTTTAAAAAAATGATCTACACTAATCCCCTATAGTTTAATACTAGTACTTACGACAAACGCTAATCACTCCTCCTAACAGAATCAAAACACACTAGTAATACTAGGATCTAGTACATCTAGTTACATAGTTGAATCCCTTATATTTATGAATTAGGATTAGTCAATGATTTAATCACAGCTAGAGGGTAGAGTGAAAAGGTGAGCTCCATCCATGCTAATAATTGCCCAAGAGGTGGAAGAAAAGGGCATTGAAGAGACTGGTGAGAGAGGGAGAAAGAACCAAGAATGCAGCAAGTCCTTGGTTACATATTCCTAGGCAATAGGGCATGTCAGGTCAAAGCCCCATCCCCCTGGAATCAGAGCCATGCATTGATAAGAAATGATAATGGAGCCCTGCCTGAGTAACCCTCCCCTCCCTAGGTTTGAGAAAGAGAGAGAGAGAGAGAGAGAGAGAGAGAGAGATTTGAGAGAAGCTAGAGGACAATGGGCAGAGCCCAAGAACCTATTTTTACACACAATGTTTGCAAGATTTTTAAAATGTTTTTAGCTCCACAAAAACCAAACACAGAGGGAGAGAAGAGAAGAAGCCTAGCTAACTGCACAGGTCAAGGGGGGAGGAGGAGGCCAAGCCATGGGGTGTGTGACTTTTTGGTCTTTTGTGTGACATAACAACATTGGCCACCTAAACATAGGCAACTCCCTCTCCAGGTGTGTGTGTGTGTGCCCCCAAAACATTCTTTTGCTAAGCTTTTTTAGCCATGCATCACCACACATTACTACTATCTCTCTCTCTCCCTTCTCCTCCATGAGATTTTTTTGGGAATTAATAAATAGAGGTTGTACTTGGCAGGTTAATTTTGCATGTCACTAACTCATATTTAGATACATCATCAATGCATGCCAAAGTTTGTTGGTGTTGCCTTTGGTTCTAAGCTAAAACACACTTAAAAACACACATAGCACACCCATCCATCATATCATCCTCTTCCTATCCTAGTATTATTATCATCATCATCATCATCTCATGACATTCTGATTGATTAATTTCATTTTTAATTAATTAAAGATGGCATAACAATGTAGATATATAATTAATCTGAAAGACTTGAAATGCAACTCTGCCATGTGTGTACCTTGAGGAGTTGCTCCACCTGGTGGTGCTGGTGTTGCCGGCCGACGACTGGTCCATGTCGCCGCCGCCGCCGCCGCCGACCGAGCTGGCGGCGCCCTCCGACGCCGACCGGCCGTGCTCCGCGAACGCCGCCGCGGCCACCCCGCCGCCGCCGCCACCCCTCAGGCACATGCTGTCGCCGCCGCCCGACGCCGCCTGCCCGCCGCCGGCGAACTCCTCGTCGCCGGAGCCGCCGTCCGCCGGCCCTACACGTCAAAAAAACCATAGCAACAATGTAATGTAAAACGCAATGCACAACGCCAAAAAAAAAGAAAAGCAAAATGGAGCTTAGCTAAATTAGCTACTACTACTACTACTAGTAGCTGCCATGGTAAAAAAAATCACCTGAAGAGGCTGCAGGCTTGTCAGTGCTCTTCACGGTGCGATACATCTGCAGTAATAAAACACAAAAGTCCAACAAAAAGAAGATCAATATATATATTTACACACACACACACATTTTTTGTGAGATCAAAATGAAACCAGGAGGTTGAAGCCATTGCAAAAGACAAGCAGCAAAGAAACACACACAAAATATGTCCTACTCTCTCTCATCTCTCATCTTCTTCTTCTCTCTCTCTCTCTCTCTCTTGTGTTTGTGTGTGAGAGTGCTTTGGGCCGTGCACATATACGCTAGTATGACTAGAGCTAAGGAAGGAGCTAGTAGCACAGATGCAGATGCAATGCATTATTGTGTAATGATGGCAACTTTTTTCCCCTCTCTCTCTCTCTTCTCTCTTGCACACACATCCCCAAACATGTCACACACACACTCTCTCTCTCTGCTCCCAAGAATGGCAGTTTCTTCACTAACTCAGGAGTTACTGCATTGGCATCTTTGTCTCACCCAAACAAGATGATCAAGAACAGAAGCTGAATGGAATCGAAATCGAGAGAGAGAAAGAGAGAGATGGTGCAGTGGTGAGTGGTGTTTGATCGATCGATCGAGCTGTGAGAATTGGTCGGCAATGGCGGGATACCTGGAGGTGGCTCTTGACATGCGCTAGCGTCAGATCCTTGACGTCCATGAGCTCCAGCACCGACTTGGGCGTCGCCCCTGCCAAGAACAAGATTGGATTCTCATCAGATTGATCGAGCTCGTTGATGATGGTGGTGAGAAGGAGGAGGAGGACGACGACGATGATGGCGGGGGCGTACTCTCGTGGCCGCCGAGGAGCTCGACGGCGTGGACGAAGCGGGCGTGGAGGGTGCTCGTCCAGCGCATGCGCGGCGCGCGCATGCTGCGCTTGGCGGGGAGCTTGGGCATGAAGCGGGACGCGAGGGCGCCGACGAACGGCTGGCCGCCGTGGAGGTGGTGGTGGTGGTGGTGCGCGCCGCCGATGACGCCGGGGGCGGCGGCGCCGGGGACGCCGTAGCTGCGGAGGGTGTCGGAGACGGAGAGCATGCCGTTGAGCCTCCCCGAGGCGGCGGACAGCATCCGGTGGTGGGGGGAGGAGAGGAACGCCGCCGTGGGGTCGAGCGGCGACGACGCGGCGCCCGGCGGCGCCGCGAGCGGGGACGGCGACGTGGAGGGCCACGTGGATGGGTGGTGGTACGAGCTGTAGAATCCCATCTTGGGGTGGTGGTGGTGGTGGTGGCCGACGTCGCCGGCGGTGGGCGACGGCTGCAGGAACGGGAACCCGCCGGGGCCGTTGTAGATAGGTATCCCGCGGATCGGCGGCGGCGGCGCCGACGCGCCGCCGCCGGCGTCGAGCGGCTGCAGCATCATCGGCGCCATCAGCGCCGCCGCGGCGGCGGCAGACGTGGTGGCCACCGCCGACGACGGCGGCGAAGGTCGGTGCCGCCACGGCAGCGCGTCCGCTCCACCACCACCACCTCCCCCACCCGCCGCCTGCGCCGGCGGCGGCGACAGCGACAACTCCGTCGACGCCGTGGACCCATCCAGCCTCCGCCACGGGTCCCCTCCTCCTCCTCCCACCACCACCCCGCCGCCGCCACGCCCTCCCCCCGACGTCGCCACCGCCGCGCTGCTCGGCAAGCTGATGTGCAGCGACAGGTCCGGTGGCGTCGCCGCCGAGCTCGCCTCCATCGACCGATCGATCAAACACCTCCTTCTCCACCTCGGCAGCAGCAACGGTGATCTCGATCGACACGCCGGAGATGGAGCTCATGCGATGGAAGGAATCATGGTGGAGAAGATGAAGGAGAAGGTTCTTGGAGTTCTTGGAGAAGAAGAGGAAGCTTTGCTTGGTTGCTTGCTTTGGCCAAGAGAAGGATGATGTCTCCTTTTTGTATCTCTGTCTCTAGCACTGGCTTGGAGTTACTACTAGTACACACACCACTTTCTCTCTCTACAAACACTCTACTTTCTCTCTCTAACTCTCTCTTCTCTCTCAAGCTTCTTCTTTCTTCACACTAACATGCATGAGAGACACCAGGGATATATGCATGAATTGGTTCCTTGTGCTGTCCTGCTATACTCCTAGCTACCAACAACAAGTATAAAAGGAATAGAGGAGAGAGAGAGAGAGAGAGTAGAGAGAGAAAATGGGAGCAGTCAGCCAGCAGTGAGGAGAGTACTGCTGCTACCCTTAATTGCAAGGTAGGAGAGAGAGAGAGGAGAATGTGAGGTTATCTTGATGTTTAGGCAGGCATTCAACCATGTATTCCTTAAATAATGGCAGTTAGCAGGCAATGCAAGTGGAGTCAAAGGTAGCATGCTTTTGTTTCCATACGTATACTATACTATGCTTTTTGTATACTTTATGTCACTGCCACCATCATCCTCCATACTAGCATAAATAATACAGACAATGGAATTAAAGGACCTCATAAAAAAGAAGAAAAAAACAAGTATACATGTACTGCAAGCTCAACATTTATACGTACGCATACAGCTTACATATGCGCACACTAAGGTCACGCCCAACGCTCCACCATGGAGCGTAGTCTCATACCTCCCAAAGCGAATATTCGCGCCACGTCGGAAGGAGCCGCGTCCTTGCAAGGGTGCGCGAATGCTGCAGGAGGTCCACACACCCTTGTCAGAGGCACTGCACTTATGCCCGAAGGAATCGACGAGGATGCGCGTTGGGTAGCGGTGTCGCCCCATGCTGTTGCTCCAGCTCGTCATCAACTCGAGCTCCCGCACCATTGCCATCGCAGTTGAGGTCAAGGTCGTCGCTGCCGTGCGGATCCGATGAGCTCAAGGCTAGTTGGTGGGGGAGAAGAAGCGTGATGGCGCATCGGTCCCACCCATCGCCGCGTCGATCCGCCACCGTGCCGCTCGATCCGCCGCCTCCTCCTCGATCCGCCACAGCCGCCGCTCGATCCGGTGGTGGGGAGAGAGGACCGGGCCAGGGAGAGGCAGCGCCGCTAGGGAGGGGAGAGGTAGCGCCGCCGGGGAGGGGAGGCGCTGGTAGAGAGAGGCGATGCCGGGGAAGAGACCGCCGAAGAGAGAGAGGAGGCGTTGAATAGATTGGGGAGATGGGGAGGGGAGGAGGGGTTGATGTTTATATATGTTTGTGATTTCTAGGGGGCATACTACAAATATTGGACTTATATACGAATAAAAATAATCTAAGATCTTAAATGCAAAATGTGACTGACTGACAAGTACTGCAGTGCAAAATAATATGGAGGTATGGCTTGCACTGTGTGAGGCATATCCCTAGTTGGATCCTTGATCACTTTTGCTCACGTGGATGGTGAGGGTGCTCCCTGCATTGAGCATGCCCTAACTAGCTCCAGGGTTCACCAAACAGTTTGGGTGGGTTACCGCCGTTCCACGTTAAGGTGATTATCGTGATAACCGCATAATTACCGTCAAAACCGTGAGGTTTACCGTGGTTTAAAAACTGAGAAGGTTACTGCACGATTTTGCAAATCATGTCTAGCACCCAAAGCGCTAGAACAAACCCCATCAAATCTCTAATCCACGACTGTAGTTACATCCCCAATGCAGGAATGTGTTCTCGGATTTCCACTACCGTAGATAGACGTTGTACCGATAGCATCCTGCACAGTAAACAATAGATTTAGCTCCCTCCTATCACTTTTTATTGATGCCAGGAGAACTAAACTTAATTACCTCTTCGAACATTAGATAAAGGTGACGAAAGGGAGTAATGTGCATATATTTATTTAAAACTAGCTGATTTGCTCCCTTGTTGCCACAGAATATTGAAAGATAACATTTAGCATTCACTTTAAAGCCTAAAATTGTCTATCTACGAAACTATTTTTACCATTGGTTTTTAGATGCCTACTAAGTTAGCCAGAGCCAAAAGCTGAGATTTATATATGCTGCTTTACGATGAAACACCAACAATACTAATATTATGGACCCATATGTCAGTGAGGGGTGGTGATGGCAGATTTATTTGCTATCACCACCATCGATCTTTACCAAACATTTAAAGTCGTATAGATGTTGGTATGTTCAAAATATTGGTATATCGTAGGAGACCAGGAGTATTAAAGAAAAAAAAGGCTGAAATACTTGTTCTAGTAATTTGGGAAGGTAGCTGAAACTGAAAAGGCTGAGAGAGCTCGTGCGCCTGGGATTCTTTTCCCCCCATGGTTTGGGCTACCTGCCTGCATCTCCATCCATCCATCACTTTCTCTCTCTACAACAACACCTTGATCTCACACTCTCTCTCTCCTCTTCTCCTGACCACCCTGTTGGTTGAGCACTGCACCCTCTTTTTATGGGGGAGGAGCCGATCGATCAGCTGAGCCCCAGGATCATATGATCTCAGCTACTAGTACCTAGCAGCAGCAGCAGCCCATGGCCATCACAGAGAAACAGATAGAGAGAAAGAGAAAGAGAGAGAAGACAGCCACAGTGACAGTGAAAGCTATGGCCTTCTCTTTCTCTCTCTCATCTCGCTCTCGGATTGGATGTGGTGTGTGGGGTTTGCAATGCAAATGCAAAGGAGTATGTGCATTGTGCAATGATCTGGAATGGCATTCCGGCAATGTTTGGATGTATGTATGGAGTATTAAATGTGGACGAAAAAAATCAATTACACAGTTTGCATGTAAATTACGAGATGAATCTTTTGAGCCCAACTACGCCATGATTTGACAATGTGATACTACAATAAACGTTTGCTAATGACGGATTAGTTAGGCTTAATAAATTTGTCTCACAGTTTACATGCGGAATCTGTAACTTGTTTTGTTATTAGTCTACGCTTAATATTTTAAATATGTGTCTTTATACTTAAAAAATTTTTTGCACACAAACTAAACACGGCCTCCATCTATCTATCTATCTATCTATCTCATCTGAACACGGTGACTGATGACCAAGAAGAGTAGTACTAGTACTACTAGCTGGTACAGCTAGCTCTAATGGCCGTGTTAGAGCAAGGTTAATAGTGCAGCTCACTACTAGCTCCAAATTATCTATAGCCAATATAATAGCCAATTCATACAATAGTTGCTTACTATACTATTAATACTTGGTCCTACCTGTTATACACACATTATATCTTGAAGCCCGTGCTGCAGCTGGCTACAAATCTGTAGCCCGCTGCTCTTCTCTCTCTTTTTTTATCTCTTTAAAATATGTTTATAGCTGGCTTATAGCCTGCTATTGTACCTGCTCTAGTGAGACGTCATCCATGGTGTTTTCTCTCTCTTCTTCTTTTTCTTCTTTGATCTTCTCTCTCTACCCTCTCTCTCTTCCTTTTTCCGCGGCGGCAAAGGGTGAGTTTCTTTCAAGCTGCATGTGTCAAGTGTGTGTGGATGTCGGTTCCAACTGGCCTTTTCATTTGACACATTCTTTGATTAGAGAAAATTGCCACTAATAATACCACCCCTGGCTATAGATTATTGTTTGTTAAATGGTCCTCTGTGCTACTAGCTCCCAGCATATGCCCCTGGATTTCTTCTTGGAAATAAATAGCCTTGGAACTTATATACTCCCTCCATTCCATAAGGCACAACCACTTTTCTTAGATGTTCTATAATATAAGCATACATGCAAGCATGCAATTAACTATAACATCTTCTCCATTAAATTATTACTTTTTTAATTCCTCCACTCTCATGTTATCTAATCCTATTAGATGCATGCATTAGAATTTATTAGGATGATCCAAACTACAGGATGATAATAATTATTTCTTGGTCTTTGGATTAAGAGTGGTTGTGCCTTATATTTTGGAACGGAGCGAGTATACAAATATACTGCATCTCTATCCATTGTTGCATTTGGGGTTGATTTTTGTGTGGTTGAGCTTTAAAAGCATTGTTGAATATTTGCAATCATATTACTGTGTATTGATTTGTCACTGGAATAGTGTATTTGACATGGAAAGAACAATTCTTACACCCCTGTGCATTGAAGATTTTCCTAGCACATACAACTAAAAACAACCCGTGGTCAAATGTTAGTATTGGCGTGGAGAACACAAGTGGGGTAATAAGTCAAAAGAGAGTACAGGTAGTGATGCTTATTTTCGGGACATTATGATGGTCATACTAAAAATCTATTTCAGTTACCTCACATTAATAGTTTGGTAGAGTTATGGTTGGCTTTTTGTAATATTGAGCTTAAATAAGGTTTTCGGGTTCGAACACAAAAACCAACACGAACAGCACGTCGTTACACTAGAACGGATACCCTCATCTCAATCGGGCGGTAAGCCCCATCTCAATCGGGCACAGCGTCCGTCACAGGCTAGAAGTCACTGATGTGAAGAGTTATCTCAATCAGGCAAACGGCCGTCACGAATGAATATATCTTAATCGGACCCGAAGTAAAGCCCGTCATAGATAGCTTTGACCCAGACGACCAGTCAAACTATAGCCCGTCACATATGACATATCTCTATCGGGCCACAACTAGCGCCCGTCACAGATGACTACTAATCTTTATCGGGCCTAAACTAGAACCCGTCACAGATGATACTCATCTCAATCGGGCCTAAACTATAGCCCGTCACAGATGACTACTGACCTCAATCGGGCCTAAACTATAGCCCGTCACAGATGACTACTGACCTCAATCGGGCCTAAACTAGAGCCCGTCACAGATGACTACTGATCTCAATCGGGTCTAAACTAGAGCCCGTCACAGATGATCTCATCTCAATCGGGCATTTAGTTATGGCCCGTCACATATGACTATAATACACAAAAAAAATAAATTTTGTTTTTTGGCTAGCCTCAGGCCTTTGCTAGCCATGCCCGCTGCAAAAATGACAGAAACAAACACAGATATCCAATATCCCTAGCTCCCCAGCATCACCCATTCATATACATATGCATTCACATACACAGACATCAACATATTTCACACAACCACACATTCACAGCCATCTCATATTTCACATCCATTCACATATTTCACATCCATTCAAATATTTATCATGTTTCACCTGCAAAACCGAGTTAATTGGATCAAATATTTATTTAGCAAGTCTTAACATAAACATATGAAATATATACATAAATATAAACGTCACAGTTACATCATCACAGTTGCATAATAAGTTTTCATCATTGCCTAAACATAAAAGTTCAACATTGATCATCATTTTAGTTTAAGCCTAAACATTCCTTTGGGGTTAATTATTTCGCGGAGGATGAAGCTGGCTATCTCCTCGCGAACCTCCTCAAAGCTGGTAGGCAGAGACTTGGTTATTGTGCCCTACATT